TCCAGTAATAGGTTGTTCAATAGTTACATGTATGGAAACACATTCTCTTGCCAACTGATGTTGAAGTTTGGAGTATGTGGCGTCTTGTTCCATAAAACTGGTAATGAATTCGCATTTTCAGGCAGCCAACTCCGCCTTGTGATTGCGCCAAAGTCTTCTTTTGGCGACACTTAACGTCCTCCTGTTTAGATGGGGGCGCCCTGACGGTATCGTGGCCCACTTAAAACCATTAAACTAATACCACAGTGAACCAGCGGCGTTGAAAACAGATATCTCTGACTAGGTGTTTGAAGATTTCAGTGAGCTGTTATGGGTAACGCGAAGTGTTTCCGAAACAAATCATCCCAAATGTTACAGACAATTACCTTTCATATACGGGGTCTTGGTTAAGCTAAGTGTTTTACATATAACCATATATAAATATAAAATTAATAAATATAAATATACAATAATTAAATATAAGTATTACTTATAGATATAAATTTATATATGTTTAAAAATATGGGTTAAATATGAGGTGAACTGTCCAAAAGACCAGACGAAATTTTCCAATCATTTTGGTCATGCGTTCACCACATGAACAAACCGTGAAAGTAAGATTCTAATGAAAGCTGTTTATCATATTTATCATGCTTGCCCAAAACCTACGCTTATTTGGATTCTTTATAAAACCTGTCGGGTTCAAAATATTTGCCCTTTTTACAGACTGTATCCCCATAACATTTTTGATTTTGTCGGTTGAGAAAAATAATCCCCGAATAGGCAATATGACATCAATCCACAGTGCCTACACCATGCGCTGTCAGACACAACCAATTGTATGTGCACTACGGCTCAACGTAATAATACGCAAGGATAAAAATCTTCTAGGTTACATTGAGACAGATAATTATTTGTCATATATGTACATACTGAATATTTGTTTAGAAAATCAGTTCACGGCATTAATGCCGATTACACTATGGCTTGTCATATCCACCGACCCATGGCCACATTTCCAAAATGCTCAAGTTATTGCAACTAAGTATCCTTAAATCAGCAAAGAACTATAAGTAGCTCGCTATTAGATGCCCAAGACTTTTATTGCGCTTGCTTGATGCACAATGGGTAGCAGCGGGTGCGTGCAAAATAGGCCTCAAACGGTTTCCACAGGCACGTTTCCAATAATCGGAACGCGGATTTCCCTCGTTGTCTTATCAACAGACTTCGACGGATTCTGTGTCACAATGAGAGAGTACATTGTTCAACAAACATGTTCCAGTTGGAGGGATACGCTATCGCTAACAGCTTTTTAACTCTAGTGTATGTTGCTAGCGAGCGTATGTTTTAAACAAGTCTGCAAATTAAGGTCAACGCATATATCTCATACGCACTAATAAAGCCAATGCCCACCCAATTTTCACGAACGTAACAGGCGGCGCTATCAAGGCGTCTGTGCAGCAGTTTAGGTGGGGGCCTTCCGAAATCTGCGAGGTATAGCACTGGGCTACGCCGACGGCATGCATTGCCCGTCAGCGTGATTTCACGTTGTTGACGGAACACTAGAGGTATATAAGGACAAAACATGACAAAACGTTTACACACAACAGTCGACACGGACTCGCACACGCACGGAGCAAGGAGCCATCCAAACTCCACAAGCCCACAGTCAAGAGACGAACACTTGTAGCAACTATGTCTGCAAATGAAACACGTTCCGCCGTCCGGACGTTCACCAAAGGATCTTCGCGAACGCAAAGATGCCCATTTGAGTTGCTTCACATTTCGCTTTGAATTTGCTTTGTACCTGTTGCGTCTCCCCACTGTCAACCATAATACAACCTGCTTTTAGTGTATGTACATTCCAAAGTATATTATTGCTATCATCATCTGTGAACCTATAAGTTAATGTGGCTTTTGGGTTGAATACAGTACCAATCTGTCAAATCAATCAGATAATTTTGTGGTGCGTCCACCACATGCTTTGTTTCTCGATGCACACATACGAGGGTAGAAACGGTAGTTGCTCACGGTGACGGCCAAAAATGAAAAAAAATATATATACAATTAGTTTGAAATATCCGAGCAAACTTTGCGTCCCAAATAGTGACAAACGTAAGACTGACGTAAAGACTGACCAGGCCGGATGATTGGAACGCTGACAAATAGTGATAGAATTCACAACTGTCTTTCGTCTTTTTGGGATACAAAACGTCATAAACCAATGACTTAACCAATTCAGCACTAGCGGCTATATGAGCACGATTGATATCCGAGAGATTCCGAAGGTAGAGGACTGTTGAGTGAAATTTCGGTGTCCTAATATCATCTGAAATATAGACGCTAAATACTTGACCTCGGGGACAAGCAATCTTTCACTATGTAAGCATCGGGGTTACTCACTAAATTCTTACTTGGCATTCGGCAATCGTTATGCTGGAGTTTTGTGCTCTGTTGGGCCCACCACCACATCTAAATAAGGGGGACGATTAGCTATGTACATCGCACTTTCGGCATTATAAAATATTTTCCTTAAATCTCAGGAGCGAACACGATTAAGAACAATATTGTGATGTAACTCGATAGACGGGTACCCAAAAACTTAATAACTTGACTGGCGCACAACACAAACGAACAAGGAAACTCTTGTCTGAAGGCTTTTCCCACTCAAGTTCCTGGTGCCAGAGAAGAACTCAGGGACAAGAGTGCATAACTTCTTTCTTCCGAACAATTGAGGTCGTACGAATGCGAAAGCTAAAATGATCTAGCGCATTTTTATGGGATATGAAAAAGTTAGGGATATTCAACGTTTTGAACGAAAATGTTTCGCTGAGGATAGCAAACAATAATCCAGTACTTCTGGTTGGGCGACGCAGTAGCAGGCTCCTCCTGCTTAGTTTGTGGGTCAAAACAGCCGTCGGTGAAACCATTGTGGGTTTGAAATCTGAAAATTATTTTGATGACCCTGGTTACCAGTCGTTTCGATTACACCAGAGACAAAGGTACACTGGCATTAAGTCTGCACGCATCGCCGGGCACGCGGATGGCCTCATCAGTTATCATGTTACGTGCTGAGTTGCCAATGAGTTTACCTTACGTACTATTCAGAGAAATGCAAACGAAACACAGGAACGCGCTACATAGTCAGGGGTTTTTATGGCGGCCTTTTTCGATCTTAATTAGGGGATAAAATTTTCGATTTGGCTGCCAGTGTTAACAAATACGGTAAAATATAAAGCTCCCTATATACATGTGGCAAAACTTGGCGTTTCACCTCAGGTGCCAATGATTATTTTCCCTCCGGAGAGAGAAAACAGGAGTTATATAGGCGCAACATCTACGCCTCGCCCGAATAATAAGAACCATGCACTTATGAGCTCATGGAAGAACACTGGTTTTCCCATCTGTCTGAATCAGTGTGCTATATGCAAAAAAGCTTCCAATTGTCCGGCAGTCATAGGTTACGCCGTGTAACGCATTCACACCGAGTCTACACTCATGTGATTTCTGTGCATCTTGTTTTAAATGGCTGCCATAGTCGTGAAGCACTGGGAAAAGTTGAAGTCCCGTGGACTCACAAGAACCACTGAGTATTCAGGACATTCAAATCACATCCTGTCATGTCAAATTTGTGCAATCCGGATGCAACAGTATTTACGATCCAGAATTTATCAGGGAGGCGACATCACCTAACTGAATGGCCGTCAATACAAAAGGATGAATAGGGGGCTCAAACTATCATGATTTTCGCCAATAGCCTCGTCATCGATCTTGTTTCGAGGAAGATGGGGCACATTCGGTGGCAGGTAACTGCATTTCATAAGGTGTCGGTCGCCTTCTTCAATTAAAAGCCTACTGAGAGATTTAAAAGCGAATGTTAGCGTAGACCGTTCCAGAGACACTTTGATGGACTGATTGCTGGCGTATTTTGCATGATTTCCTTGAACGTCGCGTGGTCTGGTTTTGTTCTGCCAGTGATTTCTTGCATCGTGAGGCGGAAGTTGACTGCCAAACTTCACGAGATAATACACACGGTGCATCAACTGAAGCAACATACTTCGGCGGACAGCCTAATAGCGCGGTATCTGAAAAGATGCAATGGGATGTGCGATGGTGTGTAAAGGTTTCAACTAGTTAATCCAGCCACGAAATGATCATTTCCGTTGACAAGGAGCGGAAATGTATATTCCGTAATGACGAGAGGAAGCATCTCCCGTTGGGTCAATGACAACCGTACGAACTCAGGTGAGTGTTGATGAAGTCTGTGGAGAGAGTGTCCATCGTTCGCGTCAGAAGTACAAAGTGATCATCATTCTACATGTATACACATATACTACTGATGGGTTAAGTAGGTAGTACGTGGCCATCTTGAGTTAGCGACCCGCGGGTTATGGGATGTGATGTTTAACACGGAGCATGTGAAACGGCTTGGCAGTTTTCTTTTACATTTTTGTGACAGTAAATGCCAACCTCTAATGATAAAGAAAATGCGTGAGAATGTCTACATTCTCGAACATTTTCGCACAATAAAAGTATGGTGTACACTACAACAGACTGAAGGAACTCTTGTGTTAAGAAATGGCTTCTAAGCGGAATGTTTATCTGGTTAGTAGTAAGGAAGTCTTCAAATACACATTTTTACCCCACAAACAACATTGAGCTGATGATGTTTGCGTAGCCTTGATTTTGTTTTATCCAACGAAAAAAAGTTACTGGATAGGCTGCATTGAATCACGTCTTCGTAGGTAAAGGCCGCGTTTCTGAGGGTGGTTTTATGAACTTGCGCCTTCATTATGCATCAACATAGTTGCTTCACCTAGCGCCCAGGAAATAAGTCGGTATTTGTGGTGCCTAACTGAATCAGAAATGGTTCATATCCTTCAGGCAGCAGAAACCCCCTAGGATAGTCCAAATATATTTTGCTATTTCTGTGTCGACGTAGAGATAACGTGCCTTCGGAGCTTTGACAGCCTGAAGCCGGAAACTGTAATGCAAATACGCCGCAAAGTTTCACATAGGCTGCATAAGCTACGTGCTCCCGTCAGCTGACAGCAAACGAGCTGTGGCTTCCGGGCATTCCTCCCTAGTATATGTGTTTGACGTAGACAGTTATATGTATTCGGATTAGATTCTCGCCGTAGCGCCCTACCTGCTTTCATTCGAACGGCACAAGCTTCACAGTTTGGCGCAGCGTCAGATGTGTTGCTTGTAAAGTCGATCAGCCTCCTTCAACAACATAGTGAGTGCAAAAATTCGCGCCGCCCAATAGCTATTTTGCCATCAATACATGAAATTTGTCATTATTATGCGAACAAAGGACGTTTAACAAAAGGCCATGTGTGCGCCATCAAGGGCGTCTGGTGATACCACATTGGTTGACGTGTGGTTTGAAGCAGATTTTCAAAATGAGAACACGTGCTTCCTCACACACATGCGCGTCGATTGACAAAGTGAATTTACAATCATACGCTTCGAGACATTTGGAACCCAATGAATAACCTCGAGTGTTTTCAAATTATACCTAGCTTGAAAGGCTCATGCCGCTGAACATTTCTCGGTGCGCTACATGTAACATACATTGTTGGCAGTTGAGGTAAACATCACATGTTTAATACTGATATCTTGACACCCCTCTAACATGTCACATTTGTGAGATTTTGCTATATTGGAATGATGTGCCTAGTTCAATATTAACCGACCAGAAAGCCAGCGTATTTTTAGCAGGTTCACTGAATAAGAAAGCCTCCGGTAGTGTATTCATGTAAAACATTGTTGAAAGAATATTCTAATTATGAGAATGAGATTGCACGACAAAATTGGAAAACCTGTCCATTTATCATGTGCTTGCTCGTGTTTGCAGGCACCAGCCGGTGTTATAAGAACACAGTTTTATGTGAGCGCAACGTCGTTGTAATTGGCATACTGTGGGAGGAGAATTTTTCTCCTGTTATTATGCTAGATCTTTATCTAGTTGATGGAACTATCAATTCTAATGTAAGTAACTAGACGAGTGCTTATTCGGGCGCTCAGTATTTGGACACATTTTCAGAGTATCCGAATACCTATGCTGGAAAGATTTGGCACCATAAATCCAAAAGCCTCCCCGTCCAGCAACTTATCAAATCTGCTCAAAGACAATAGCAAATAATGATCATACCAGCGGTCCCGTATTCGTCGCTGCGAAATGCACAATGCATGAGTTTTGCGGCTACTTTCATTTCCATTTTCATCAAAATATTTGGCACGAAGCTTGCAACCTGCCTGTTTCACAGCGCTAAGAACGGTCGTGCCGCATACACTATACATACCGGGCTTTCTATTTCCGCCGANGGTGTATTCATAAAAAACATTGATGAAAGAATATTCTAATTAGGAGAATGCGATTTCACAAAAAAATCGGAAAACCTGTCCATTTGTCACGTGTATGCTCGGATTTGCAGGCACCGGCCGGTGTTATAAGAACGCAGTTGTATGTGAGCGCAACGTCGTTGTAGTTGGCATACTCTGCGAGCACTCAAAATTATGCGTGATATTAAAAGTTCTTTTAATCCTGGATTTTCATTGGAAATCGCAAAGCAAAACTATTCCAATTAGAAGGGTATTCCTAAAATAATCATGATTTCTGTGTGGTTTCATTAGATGCGACGCATTTTCAAATGTGCAATGTTGCGCAGCGTGCAAACTCCCATGCCTCACTCTGATCGCCACTCAGCACCTCGCTGATCTGGAAACGTGGATGTGCTTTAAATAAGCGCTATTAGTTGCGTTATGCTCTATCCCCCCTCGCAATCATTTGGCCGACTGCATTCAGAATATAAAGATAGCATCAAACCAGAATTCGAATGCGGTATAAACAAAACCTACTAAGATAAATTGCAAGTGTGGTTGATGATGTGACGTGTTTGTGGTGCGGCTACCGTAGCCGATCGCATCAAAGTTTGCACAACATACCCTAAGAAACGCACGAAAGTTGACTGCGTTGACGAGTGTATCCTCGGCGCGCTTTAACTAAAAATCATTATGAATAGTGTGTTGTACAATGTTTGAAACGTAGAGACATTTATAGCGCACTCCAATGATAGGACGACCGTTTAGTATTCTTGAAACCTATTTTGCGTCCAAGAATGAACATCCCAGTAGAGCATTCCTAACAAAATTTAACTTGACCAAAATGGGTGACAATTTCATCATTGCTGAATGTACAGTGGTGGCGGATAGCTTGATCAAATAGACGTGATAATTACTTACCACCTTTAAAAGACTTGGAATTTTCAGGTCGTCCATGGTTAGTTTGCGTTTAGTACAATAATGAAGGGCCCAGTTCAACAACTATTAGATTAGTAGAACTTGAGAATTTATGGGCACTTTTTTAGAAAAGGTGAGCTACCGCTCAGTTGCTCCTTCTTTATGCGGGTGAGGTATTTTCTTTTGTCAGACCTCCAAACGTTGACAATTTAGTGTGAGACACTACGAAGATCCAATGTTTCTCCAGGTCATTGGGAAGCAAACAAAACCTCGTTACGCGGTAAGTTGCATTATCTTCAAAATGCGGAGTGCGCATGCCCGGAATTAACGAAATATGACTGACATGCTTTGTTCACACAGATCAATAGATAATCAAGCGCAAAATCGCTGAGTGGCCAAAAGCATAAGTACTTTCTTCCGAGAATTCACACTTTGAGCAAATGGTTGTAATATCCGGCTTAATAATAACGCATTTATAACAATTTCCCGAAAAAATCACTTTTTCGTTAGTGGCAGACTTGTTATCATTTTTCACAGTAAGCAGTGGATTGCGAATATTTCTGTTAAAGTCATGAAATTATTAACACAGCGTTACTAATTAACATAGCTATATGCAATTTTGCACAAAACATGAAGAATGCAAGTTGCCGCCACTCCAGACAGTTGACACCCGGAACCGAAAATAAGACTTCAGCGTGCGAAAAAAATATCTTTTGTTGGAAGTAAGCTACAATCAATTAAGTTTCAGAAACAAATAACTTAAATGTGCCCTGCTTTAAATGAATTATTAAAGCAGAGGCTCAAACGACTGACCAATGTTTCACCTAGCAAAGCAGGAAAGCTCTAATGTTCATCATCTCAATTGTGAGATACCATCATTTGCCCTTTGTTCCCAATTAAATATGCAGAAACGGAAATCCGTCTTGTTGTCAACAGACCACGGAATTTTGCAGGATTGCGACATGCCAAATGTCGCTTCAAATACAACGTTAAATTTACATTTGTCCGGTTAAATAACAAAATGGAAAACCCACCTCTGATGCGTGAATAAATAATTTCATTTAGTAGAGTACACCTAATTTTTCGTTTTCCAAAATACACCAAGTTCATGCGAATAGAACTGTGTTATTTACTGTTTATCTTCGCCGGCAATATTCAGTTCAATTCTGCAAATACTGTAAAGGAAAGGGACACACGATTTCGCATACGGAATACACCCTGGATGCGAAAATGCCAGACATTTAAGCGTGTTTAACCGTTATATATTTCCGCAACAAGCGTTGGAGTCATCGAAGGTTAACGTAAATACGGTGGAATAAATTTTATTGGGGCCAGAATGAATCACTGATTCCCATATTGGGCGGAACATTTCCCGAGCGGCTTCCTTCGCCTTGATGGTTATGCCCATTTGACGAAACATCACCGAGGTTGGCTTAATTGTTACCCTATTTTTGGACTCGCTTATTTAGCAGCATTTTGCAGGAATTTAAGATTTTTATAAGAGATAAAAATCCGGAGAATAACTGTAAGCGGGAAGCTAAAGAAACCGGTCTCAATAAAATGTGGTAATGTATGAATAACCGTTTGCCGTAGGTTTATTTTGATACACTTTAACCGTAGTATACAAGTTGTATGCAGCCAACCAGATGCGATCAAAATTTTCAGACTTCAGGGTCATCCAAAACACCATAAAATGGAGAGAATAAAAACGACAGTTACGTAGTTTTTTCAGATTTGCTAGCAAGAGTAACCATGACGATTTGCGTTATGCTTATTGCAATGGCCTTTCGTAAGTCATTAACCCGTTGGCAGAACAAAATGTGTGCATATTTCGACGCTACTTATATGTGTTTTCGTTTAGTGGAAAGCGTGATGACAAGGAGTATGCCGCCATATGAAGCCTGTATGCGTAAGTAGTACCAATCATTCCACGTGTATAGCTCATTTTTGTAACTCAACACGCCCTGTGAACTCCGGCTGAACAAGAATGCCACACTTTCAGTAAAAATATGACTGCAAGTCATACGTCATTTGAGTCCACGTGCTGGAATGCTTCCTATATCAAATACCTCACGCGTCGCCAATCACATTTATGACTGTTTTACCAAAAGTAGAAAGATGGAACTTCCGATAACCATGGGTTATTTAACTTCCATTTGTCTTCACGTGTCACAATGGAATAATTGTTTTTAGTACGTCCATACTGATGAATTGAAATCGCTGAAGCCTAGAAGCAAGTTGTTGATTGTTGATGGGTATCGAGCATATGATCTTGGGTCATACAGGGATTCTTTAATTCCCCAGGTAACTAAAGCGCGAAAATAAACGCGAGTCCAAGTGAACGTTTTCAGTCGAAGCCTAAAGCACGCTTGTATAAATAGCTGCACCCGGAAATCACTGCTTGTTGCAAAAGATGGACCTTTTCTGAACTATTATCCATCAAAGCCATAGTGACCCTTATAGCTATATTTCACAAAACCACCATCGTTGGATTACCGTAAACTGATTTGTGAAGCGCCTTTAGAGTTACAGTGGATATTGTTACCGGTAAATGCCATTAGTTAAATCTGTAAAGTTCTGGTAAAGGTCGCTGTATGCGCCTTTGTGAGCCAAGACGTATGAATTTTATTGTACGTGAAGGCATCCACTATTCTGAAGTGAGAACATATGACCAATTTTCTGGCGGACAAATCCCTATTGAGCTCAAGTTCATTCAACTCTCTTGCTCTTTAAGCTGTCGCATTAGTTATGCAGTTTGTAAGAGATCAGTCCACTGCGCGTTCGGCCCTCATTGCCGTACTTGAATATGTAACAATCACGCAAATTCGTTTCTTTTACTCCTCAACACTGATGCGCAAATCTGGGATTTTGTTAAACAGAGGCCTGCGGGGAAGATCGGCATGTGACAACTGGTGAGTTTTAGCAATCTATATATCGGAAAATAGTTGCTTGATATAATTTTCTTAATAAAAAATAGGCAAATATATAAGCCTCGCTACATGCGTTCTGGTCAACTGGTTCCAATCTACCAACCATTCACTTAGCAAGTGGTTACAAACGGTCACCAACGACCAGCATATGAGGTACCGTTTATGCTAATTTCGCGATTTAGAAAGGTGGCAAGTATGACTCAACTACATCAGTAAACCCAGAACACACGAAATATTTGCTAATAAGATCAACAGAATGCTGGAGATGGTCAAAGTTTGGAACAAACGTTCGTCAATGTGTATAACCGAATGGATGGTACGCATCTACCCTCACAAAGCGACGCAATTTCTTTGGGAAATGTTTTCGAAAACCAAAATAGGGAGCTAAATTTAGAAATTCGGGATTGCACTTAGGGTTGAAATTTACGGGAAAAGTTTTAGTCAACATACATGTTACAATTAAGGGCACGCTTGTCTATTCACACAAACAATTGCTGAATTGCTTTCGGTTTACAGTTTTGGAAATTGGCCAAATAGATGTGTGTCGGGGTAAGATGGTGTCCTCAGTTGCTGTAATTTTTGCTGATGTCAATGGTACATATTCTATGGTCATCTGTTTGATGCCCATCAGGTTGGACTTGTGTTGACGTCGTTGCAATTTTCGGTAATTAACCCAACAAATGTAAATGAACTATTCGTTTGCAATCAGCGAAAAACACACAAGGATTACAGTAGAGCCCTGATTTATACAGAGTCGTGTGCGTGATCATTAAGTGCATTCAAAACAACTGCACATTTCTATAAACGCCAAAAACTTGTTCTAAGCCATGTGATATTTCACATTTTTAGATAAATGCAACAGTGAAGAAAGGGGTCGTTGCATAGGTGCGTAAAAGTCTTGAATCTTATGGATTACTTGGCCATGTGATATTTCACATTTTTAGATAAATGCAACAGTGAAGAAAGGGGTCGTTGCATAGGTGCGTAAAAGCCTTGAATCTTATGTGATTACTTGGGAGAAAATTCAATTTGCATTTTCTTACGGAGAAGACAACTCAGAATTTTCAAAATTGACGGTATGCCTCTCCCATTTAAGTAGGCGTATTTTCTGACGGCATCGGGCGTTTGTTTTGTTATGCGCATTCAAACTGAAAAAACGCCATCAATGAACTAAGATCAACAGAGCTATCAAAGAGTCTAAGGTGAATACTTTCTATGACTATTCGGCTGTCCATTAGCTGGAAACGCATTTAATCATTTGCTCTTCGCAATTTCTTCAGCAAGGAACCCACGCAATGCAGATGAACGAAGTAGGTTCTCGCGGGGAATCTTGAATTTTGCAATAGGTTCTATCCACCTAGCATCCCGGCGTTTAGTTATTTCCTACATCTGAAAATAAAAAGCTCTTAACAAGTGTGGCTGGCTGAGAGATACTTTTATAAGTATTTTATGTAAATTGATGAACTCTGGTCTTTACGCGCGGCAACGTATTACGTGGAGAGTCAGGCGGATTTAACACCAGTTACTACCTGGAAATTCCAACGTGTAGAAACAATAATTCTTCTTGATTGTTTATCTAGGTTTTGGTTTGTAAGAACTATACTGTATGTTTCGGCCTGTTGTATGCAGAAAAATGCTGGAAACTGGCTCTTGACCGCTGCATTGGTGAGTTTCGTTAGGTTGGCTACTGCGGAAATGAGGAGTACCACATGACTAGCAATAAATCCTGTACGATCATTGGTAGCATATACGTCCAGAGCTGCTTGAGTAACCTGAGGGGTCGATTTCAGAAAAAACTGTATCGTATTTGATAAAAAACATCTTTGAGCTTGCTTGCTAATGTTTGATTAATTCTAAATGCAGCCCGTTGTGGTGACAACGACCAGAGTTGCTTAGGTGAGTTCCCGCCGGCCGCATTTTCAGTGAAAATGGCCACAATTTATCCTTTCAATTTTGTTTCAGCGCATATGTTCGGTAGATATGACTGTGTTTTTTTGGGACATGTTTAACTGCAGAATATAACATGTTTTCCCAGAAACTTTACTCATTTGTTCAGTTTGCACATCCCAGAAAATCTGTGGAGTTTTTGAGAAGCAATCCATCAAATCTAGAGTTACAGATAATTCATGCGCATCCAATTATGGCATTTCAATTCAAACCCATATTTGTGATTATTGCACATGTTTTGCGCGCGTAACTGATGTTGTTACATTTCTCCCCAATATCTTCAATTTTTTTCAGAGATGAAACAGCTAAAATCGTTTGGTCGCTAACAAATCGCTTTTAGCTTAACACTGTTTTGAAATTGGTTGATAATTACAAGATTTAACACTTTCATGTGAGTACACATAGGGCACGATGGGATCCCGAACACTCTAGAGGAGAGCCATCAGATTGTTCATTAATTCAACCAATTTATGCATAACAAACCTGAGGTAATTTGGCCACGAGAATCTGGAAGTCTCTCACAACCACCGGTAAATGTGTTCCAATGAACGCAGATGGGATTTATAGAGAGATAATTCCGACTTACCCATACCATAATGTATTCAATAGCAATACCCTGCATAACAGTTTTTGTGCATAAATCTGCGTGACTTTTTTGAGTGTTCATCAGATATCCTTAGTTTGGTGCTGCTGGATGCAATATTTAGGGAGCTTCTACGCACTTTGGCAAAAATGAAGATGTGGTTACTCCTTGACAATGCTGATGGTCGTGTAACCACACCATTATATTTCAGAACTATGCCAGAGAATCAACACCCCACCATGTGAGACATATTGCGATTTTGTCCACTAACTACAGGTTTATCTGCATCTCAGGAGACTCAGTTGACCACAATCCCGTAAACCGTAGTAGAATATCATCCTAAATCTGCCTCAAAATCTGAAATGCCCCAACACTTGTGATGAAAAGTTGAGTTCTTTTTACCCGGCTATAGATAATGATGAAGGATTAACCATTTGTCTTCCCCTATCTAGCAAACTAAACGAACGTACTGGTTTCTTTACTTTCGGTGCAAACTTTCGGTGCAAAATAAAATAAACCGTCGGAGGAATTCTGTGCCTTATTTAAATCGGGCGGGAAAAAATTGCATAATAAACCGAAGTTAATTTGACAAAACCCTGAGAACTACGAGCCATTGGCTTGGCGGATGCGTATTTGTAACCGTTATATGAACCGCGCTGAATTTTTTAAACCATGGACTCGAGTGCATAGAAAAATACCATAGAAAAAAGTGGGTGGCTCTTTTGATTCATCTAGTGTTAATTCGCTCATCATAATCGAGCTTAATAATTGTTGACACGCAATGCCGGTGTTTCCTCCCGGAGAAACATCCTCTTTGACAAAATGACACTCTCGGTGTCGACGTTTTTCTCTCGGCTTACGCTGCACCCATCGTTTGCCTGGACGCTACTCAGGCGCAAGGGAATTGGTGGAAGAATTGTGCGGGGGCCGAACATCCGAACATCCACAAAAATTTTTCACCGGTTTTCCCCGGATATTGTAACAATGCCAATGGGATTCATGCAGTAACCAACTATCCTCTATGCAGTCCGCAGGAGCTAGATTGCGGCCTTCATGTAGCAGGATAATTTACAAGGGCTTCATTTCAGCAGGGGTTACACGGTTTAAAAAATAATAAGCGAATTAAACTTTATTTGGATTGGAAGAGCCGCACTCTGTTGAACAATTCATGTGCGCGATGTTGTCCCCCTGAATCCGACCGCATTTCGCTGGTAATGCACCACCAAGTGCATTCAGCTACTTTTGCTTACATCACATAGGCTCATTGCCGACGCGATAAATGCTACTCTATTTAGATGCGGATGCAGATGCTCTGGGCTTTCGCGACTGTCATTGGTCACGCGTTCAACTAAAGTGCGGCGGTTGAACTAAATAGCCAATAGAGCTCCAGTTTTGAGACATTTTGTTGCTATGTCCATTGTAACTGTTCATTTTTTGTTCCGCTCAACAAAAGCATCCACTCGGCAGCCGCTTAGCACTTCCAGATATGTTTGTTTCCATGATTTTATTGTGCCAAAATAGCTTCAAGAGATCACACTGTTTGACAACCAGTTTCAACGACAAGCAGTTGCTGCTATAGCTGTCTTTAAGCTTACTTTCAATTAAACCCTTACAAGGCGTGTCACAAAACATTCTGGGGTTAAACCTGAGCCACAACATAGGCGGCGTCTAAATCGATGTGGGCCAACAGCAACGAAAAGTTCCGGCTAGCGCGTCTCTCGGGTTTTAGCGTAAAATCCTTGAGGCATGTGCGCATAAATAATATGCCCAGTGGAAAGATTGATAACAAAATCTAGACATTGACCCCCTATGGTACTTATGCTTGGTTAGGTTCGACAAATGAATGACGGCGTGTTTTCTCATTCATATGATGAAAATGCTTTGGCTGGATTACACACGAAAAGTGCCGCATATATGATATTGTTTACACAGAAGGTCCTTGCGGACGGCGTGTAGTCTGTGCCGGAGTTAGCGAGGCGAACGTTGGTGGAAGCATTCGTTTCCACTTTCCCAGCAAATTAAAAATAACTCCGCCAGAACTGTACAGGGGACACGAACGGCAATCAGAGCTGGATGCTACTTGACAGAGATTCAGGTTGCTCATTTTTTGATTTTGCCTCGCGTCCACCGATGGGCAACTCATCGCAGATCTGAAAACATTGAAGATAAATAAAATACCGTTCATTAATCTTCGTTTCGACGGATCATTTGCATTGACGAAATACTTGAGTGTTAAGGCACGACAGATTTGCCCGTGCATGGTTGGCAACTGCAAGTTTCGAGCGGCTTCCGAAAACATTTTGCCTTACTATCCTTCAACAGCCATTGTTTTGTTGGTGTTTGAAGCGCTTGAAAAACGCGCAGTGATAAGCGGGGCCTTGTGCATAAAACCTCTAAAATAAGCAGCGATTCATTGGAATTCGGCCTAAAGCAGAACTATTCTACTTAAATACTGAAGTGACAACGACGCAGCGTTACCCATTTTACCCCAGTATATCGAACACAAATTCTTGGCTCTAGAGCGACTTTCATCTGTCGATAGTGATCGAATTTGTGATCATATGTGATTTGAAACAAAATAAACTTTTCCGGGAAGCCGGTAGCTGGCAGCCGATGCCGCCAAAGTGTCGTTAGATTTTCTCCAAAACCAGTTGTTTTTTAACCCACCCAACTATTGGACGTTGCGTCACTCAACATTGCAACCCAATGTATGAATGTGTGTCATGCAGCAAATGGCCTTCATTCTTTAAAATTAAAATTGTTCAGGATTGTGAAATTTCAGGTTTTGGATTAGTTGAGATTTGTTGAAATTCACTTCTTGAAAACTTTGCATCGTTGCTATGAAATGTTTCAGGCTTAACATCGCTCAGTTTAGATTGGTTAACCATTTTGACTTATGTGGATTGGGTTCTGCAAGATTCGTCACAATAATGCGCATCACTTGAAACGCCAAGTCGTATGGGTTGCAACCACTGCGTAACCAATATGACTGGAACACCATTTAACTAAGAAATGTGAAACTTCATGAGTATTGCAAGATATTCTATGAGCAAATATTCATCAGATAGCCATCACGGTATTTGAGCGAAAAACCGTTTAACGCGCGATCATACTTTGAGTATAACATAGAGCTTAACAAAATCGCGTTCGTTTTGTTTCCCATCGGATTTTTCATTCGCAATGTGAGGCAATCACCCCAAACTGCCTGCGCCAACTGACGATGGGGACGTCAGCCGTGGTGTTGCTGAATAACTCGGCCATCCAGTTTGTTGTTGAACAAAAAATTATAGGTTGCGCGTGCCCAAAGTTCTGGAATCTTGTACAACCCTGCTAAATGTTTCTTGCGTATGCATGGAGCATATAAACTTTGTCAGTCCTGCGGGACTTCACAGGCGTAGAACAAAATTCTCCAAGCTGAGCTTTTACGAAACTAAACCATTAGTGATTTCATTTGAAAAAATTGCCCGAGGCAATGAGCACGCTAACTCTAAGATAAATAGATGAGTGCTATTAAGTTTAATTAACATTTTATCAAAATATGATACATAAATGCATTCGATTTTAATTGTGTTGCGCAATATCATGTGCAATTAGGAGTAGCTAAAGTTCTGAATGGTGGCAAAAATACACGCCTCAATGTGTTACCTACAACATATTCGATGGGTAATAATATCCTAGGAAGTTTGGCTGTAAGAATAGTTACTTCAAGAAGAATTGAAGAAAAGATCGTCGGTTTATCTAAGTCAGTGCTATTGTGCGGCAAATGGTTGAAGTAACTGGAAATCAACGTAACAATAATGATGAGGAACGGCCAAAAACAGCCACAGACGACACAAGCGGCAGCAAATATATTACGTTTTCTCGAATCATTGGGTATAACTATTATTTTAGCATGCCATGTTTTCTGACGAATTTGGTAACTTCCAAATTAACAAGAATTTTGGGAACAGTTGACTAGAGCTTCAACTGCTGAAAAAATATCTCGTAGGATTCGTCAAAGGACAAGTTTTACCCGGTGCATTGGAATATCGAACAAGTTAAATAATTCTGCTCCACGTTCTGGTGAGCATTGCTACCTCATTTAAGACGACTAATAAGCGACTAGATGGGGTCAAGCCCTAGCCTAAATGATTGCGGCTGAGGCACCTGAAATAGGAACACTGTTTGCTCTATGAACAAACGCGTCAGTACCTGTGGTGTCGCAAAAGCTAACTTTTGATCAGTGTTTGGGAGGCGAGATTAGTATGCGCAAAACTCTAACGCCTGTGGCGCTCGCGGGACATTAGAACATCCGGCAAGTGCGGAGCTTGCAGTGCTATATGGATAAGAAATCTGGCCCCAGCTGGCCAATGATGTTGAACATCTCTAGCAGTTGACCATCACTGTCATCAGAACACTGCTGGCGTATGATAGAAACACTGGTTAAACAGTCTTGAAATTCGCTTAGTGCTGTTCGGAGGAATCACCTCGACAATAATGCATGAAATAATTGCCCCGTAAAGGTTGCTTTTTATGGTTAAGTTACATCCTTCGCTAGCAGATTGATTTCTTAGAAGGGTTCCTTTATCCGATTCACTCAAAGCAGAGGTTAAACTATATCTTTACGCCACTGGATGGAAGTTCCTGGCAGCAAACTCCACTGTCCTGGTGAGAACAGAAAAATAGAATATATTGTTGGTTAGAAAAATTGCCAGATATGACACAGGCATCCCTCAGTAGCTCCTTGCCTTTATTCCTTGTCTTCAATGGATGGCAAAGTTACAAGTCCATTCAATTAATGTTCATTTGTTCTTATATATTTTTATTGGCTGCAACCACCACTAAACCATCTGTGGATAGAAATTTGGTAGCCCAAACCACCGTGCGACAAGTGTGCAGTTCCTACAGCCGATAATATTAATGATGGTGATGGATAGGGTAGAAATTAGAGGTAGATACATGCATCCAATTCTCGTAATAAACCAACATATGAATAATAATATTTTTGGAGCAAAGCACGCATAAGTTTTGGCATGGTACTGAGAATGCCCACGGTAAGT